TGCTTTGCTTACATTTACAACAGAGAAAAACACAAATCACAGCTTAAAATAAATTCTCCTCTACTTAACACGAGTCTTTGGTGGTGAGCAGAGGCCAGTGTGTGAGAATTCATCTGCAGTGCTGCAGGAGTGAATTTTCACACATCTTCAAAAGGCAGATTTCAAAGAACACTGAGATCAATTTTAGTTCCCCAAAGTCCTTCAGCGGCAACAAACAAATAAACCAGCAAACTATTCTTCAGCTCCATAAACTCGCACAGCCTCCGTGAGTCTTTCTACATACACAATGGAATAACTCTAATCCCAAACCTAACTCATGTACTCATTAAAATCACAGGTATAAACAGATTTCAACAAATATTTGTCTTATTATTTGATGACTTTGCGTTTATTATTAGATAAATTAAAGATAATCAGGATAGCGGTTTCTATGTACTAATACAATAAAATACTGTGCAAAAGTCTTGAGCCACCCCTCATTTCATTTCTATTTTACTTCCAAGCAGCCAGAGTTTCTTGTAATCTTCCAAGTGATCTTCAGTAACAGTTCCCCAGGGCTCCTAAAGCTCCAGCTTCTTTTTCACATATTTTCAGTCGATACAAGTGGAGAACAAAAGAAGTAGCAGATGAATCTCAAATATCCAAAAGTTGATTCTGTTCATCTGGACGTAGCGTTTTCAGTGGGAGAAATGTTTTATCACTCACCCAAGTGACTTCTTCAGTCTCAGCTGACTGCAGGTTTCCCCAATCGTATAAACAGTGCATTTGCATAATGACTGCTAAACTGCAGTCAGCTGAGACTGAAGAAGTCACTTGGATAAGTGACAAAACGTCCCACTGAAAATGCTACATCCAGATGAACAGAATCAACTTTTGGGGATTTACTTACCTGGATGATTGAGCATCAACCTATAATCCCAAATACATTTCCAATACAATAAAAGCATTAAAAAAAATTCAAACATGGAGCACTATCAAGTCATGAGTCGGCCTCCCCAGAGCCCGAATGTCAACATTATTGAAGGAGTCTGGGATCATCATGACAGAGAGTAAAACAAAAGGCAGTCAACACCCAAAGAAGAGCTTTGACTGTCCTTCAAGAAGCCTGGAGAACTTTCCCTGAAGACTACTTAAAGAAATGACAATAAAGCTGCCTAATAAATTTCAGACTGTGTTAAATAGTAAAGATGAACATTTTAATTGTACAAGCAAAGATTTGACCTTTTATACAATGGTTTTATTTATCTTTGCATATTTTAATTAGCTTTTGCACCCATTTACCATTTCCTATCAAATATAAAGAAAGGCAAAGTTAAAATATAAATATTTCAATTCATTTGAGTTTGTTTTCAAGGAAATTTCCAGGATGTGTATTATTAAATTATGGATCGAGCAACTATAACCCTGTTCTATTTGTTGAAAGCCTCCTGACCTTTAAGTACAGTTTACCTTTGGGTACAAGAGGAGAGTGCTGAATGTAGCTGTCAGGCCAGCTGGAAAGCTAACCAAAGCAAAGGACGACCCTAGACTCCAGATTTTACCTCTGATCTCTCCCTCTTTCATATACAGTCTATGATCCCTCCCCCTGGGACCCTACAGTGAGCTCTGAGCATGGACACCACACAACCTCAGTAAGCAGCTCAGACACAAAGGTCTTACACAAAGTTAAGGCTGAAACTGTGAAAGATCAACAACAGAAGTTAATTTTAATATAACACAGATACACAAGTGAGTTTATTTTTATTATTTTTGCAGAATCAGATTACTGTCAAGTTTATTTATGAGAGGGGCGGTGGCTGCACACAGATTTGTCTTGATTTAGGAAGGAGGTCTACAGAGTGGTGCCCTGTCGAATATGAGTTGGTGTCCACTAAAACATCTTGGAGGTGATGCTTTGAGTAGATCACGCTTTGTTCAAACATTCATTTATTTCCACACTGAGGTATTTGTGGTACTTTTATTTAAGAAAGGATTCTGGATACTTCCTTAAGCACAGAAACTTAAAACGCCCAATAAAAGCCTCAAAGATTTGTTTGCTAACAAGCAGAGAGTCAAAGAAACTGCTGAATTAATTCAAAGAACTCATTCAAAAAGTAGCAGATCAGTATGTCAAACCTTCACTGCAATGCGATGGACTTTTGCTCCTCTTTACATAAAATGACAGGTTTTTGTTTGAAGGTCAGAGTCAGGTTGAGGAGGAAGCAACCTGAGCCCTACTTCAACTGAACTCTCAGGCTCGCTTTTCTGTAGTAAAAACTTCTGAAAAATCCTTCCTTTAACTTTGAATTTGACAAACAGAAGAGAGACAGACATTCCTCTCACCTGGCTCCTTAGTGCAGCAGGATGGATAACCGCAGAACACCAAACAAACATGTAAGCATATGCCTCCGTTCATGCTTTCATTTCCTCTCGCCTAGATTGTTGCAGTGGTCTTTTAACAAGTATTAATCAGAGAGCATTCAACTGACTTCAGATGGTGCAAAATGCAGCAGCCAGACTTCTTACAAGAAACTGGACATATTACACCACTCCTAATGACTCTGCACTGGCTGCCCATTACTTTTAGAATTGATTTTAAAGCCCTTCTTGACCTGGCACTACATTACACGTCCAAACTGCTACTCCTGAACCAGTGTGCAGCCTCAGATCTTCAGGCAGAAACCTGTTAACTCACGCTGAGAGACAAAAGGCAATCGAGCATTTGCTGTTAAGGGCTCCTTGATTTCGGAATGACCTGCCTGAGGAAAACTGGCTCACGTCATCAGTGTCATCTTTTAAATCACTGCTGGAAACTCATTTGTATTGTAAGGCTTTTCATACCTTTTATTCTAGAGTTTATATGTTTTACCATGCTTATTCATAAAGCCTGAAACATTAATACTGGAGTGTATTTTGAACATAAACAGAAAGAAGTTTAATATAAGTTTGCATATGAGTTTTATTATGTAGAATTTTTGCTACATATGACATTTTTGTACAATTTGTTGCTTAAAAACAGTTGTGCACTTTATGTTAGTAGTCTCAGAATCACATTTATCAAATATGATACATTTAAAGGAGCAATGTCTAGATTTCTAAGCTATGTTTTGCATTAAAATTGGAATAACATCTCGTTCTTATTTTGACATTCCTCTTGAATCTTTATTTTAATTGATTTGTAATTTATTCCTCTTAGTCTCTTTTATTTTATTCTACTTTTATTCTGGGAGAGACTTTGTAAAGATCCTTTTGAGAAGTGCTTTATAAATAAACTTTACTGTTAATATTATTGTTGTTTTTCAATTTAGAGGCCAAAACAAGACGCCCGGATAATTTGCAACAGCCACAGTGGCCGCCCACGGTTCAACCTATATGGCATCAATCTAATAAAAAACAAAAGCAAAAAATGTATGCACCATTAAATTTTAATTATTATAAATACTATATCTTAAGCATTGGTGTCCCTGAAATACTGCAGTAGAATAAAACAATAAGACAAAACAAAGGTTTACCAACAATCAGGACACATTATAGAAAGTTATGAGACATCTATAATAAGACCGTTTTTCCCCTTTTCTTGACCTTGTTTTAAAATTGATGTTGCCAAGCTCACAAGTGCTTCAACAGCCGTCAGAAAGTCAAAAAACTTTAATTGAATTTTCAAGATTTTATAATTTCATGAAGAACAAAGACACTGTAAGGCAGTTACAATTAATGCCATCAGTTTAATATAAGAAAAAAAAGGTGCATCAGGCACAGAAATTGTTTTAATGGGTCAATTGATGTTTCTTCAAAATAAAAGCTTTTCAGTACTTGAGATTTACTAAAAAGACACCCTGTATGGAAAATCATAGTTGTTATTCAAGTCACGAGTCGTCCTCTGCTCTCTGTGTTGGTACACACTTTCCTCTCCACTGCTTACTTAACCTTTGAGATTAAACATGTGGTCGCACATCTGAGAAACTGTACACTTGCTAAAATATTAATGACACACAGCACACTGGTGAGACTTCTGAGCCGCCACAGAGAATCCCAATCATTCCTCAAAGGCAGCCGGCACGGGGCGATTCAGCTGATGGTGTCACTGGGTCTGCAGCATGAGCTGAAACATGACATGTAGCACAGCCACATCATTTGCCCATGGTTCTGTTAAAGGCTACTACTGTATTTTAGGATATCACAGCATTTAAAAACCCCCAAAACGAAACACTTACATTCACAACATTCCACAATGTGAATAGATATTACTTTTCACTGAAGAGTAGAAAGTCTGATCATCTTAAAAAAAACTGAAACACTTAGAGGATGAAACGAGCAGTTGTTTAAAGAGTCCAGCACAGTTTGTATATCCTAGCTCTTATGGCCTAAGCTAGAGCTTAAAGAACTACCACAAAGCCATACCTGTGCAGCCTCCTCTCTCCTCCAGATGCATTTTAGGAATGAGACATCTTTAAACACGGCACACTTGAGACAGGATTTCCGGGGAGGACAGAGGAGACGAGGAGTAATGCATCAGAGAAACACATACGTGCCCATGCTACAGTATTGCTTGGCATGTTGGTGCTGTGGACAAACTGATATACTTAATCACAGGGAGAACAGTAAAACAATAAGCGATGTTGTTCATATGCTAAAAATGGATTTTAGCCTGTTGCTAGGTGGTTGCTCAACATGCATAATTCAGCTTTTGTGGATATAAATAAGAAGTTATGAAATTAAAGCTAATTTTATAAGGTGTT